AAAGGAAAAACAGAAATGAGACATGATTGCTTCTTCTTCATATGCATCTGGTTCACTTTTACGGTATGATCAAGGCGAATTTAGGGCCCTGTCACACGTTCAATATTTATTGACGTGATCCAAGTATCGCCATAAACTAATTAGAACAGATCTGACCGGTTGAGAAGCAGCCATTTGTAATAGCAATTGAGAAAAAAGTGGGTGACGTTCGTAATTTTGAAGTTTGCTATTTGTGCTCATTTACACACGGCGATTTTTGTTGCCGCAACTCGACGTTTGTAGGAGAGAGCGTGACGAGGAAAGGAGAGGGGCACCGAGTTGCTCGTGCTCGGGCAACACGCTTTGTACTCTCGTTCGTCTGTGTAAATTGAACCGCTGTTCACAGCTGACAACAACAATTGCATACACACAAATCGCCGTGTGTAAATGAAACGAGCAACACCAAAAGGGAATGTGAAAAATCGGGTCGGCAAAAGTTTCCGTGTATAAACACAATCTTTTTGTTTTGCTTCTTTCTTTATGTGTATTTTGTCGGTGGTTTATTTCAGTGATTTTTAAGTGATTTTTTGAGCAAATGTAATTAAAATGAAGTGCGCGGTGATTGGATGCAAAACACGTACAAAAATAATAAATTGGTTAGCACAAACATGTGCACAACATTGCTTGCAGTTTTTCTTTATGCTTCGTAACTCAGCGGCTGACTATTGCATTTACTACTGCGCCTAATACTATGCCACAAATTTATTTTAAGCTGTCGTATGACAATTGTCAGTTTTATTGTTATGATCTACTGAGTAAGTGACAACGGCGAAACAATGTTTATATTGTGTTTTAGGCGCAGTAATTGTGACAATAGTCATATGATTAATTTTGTCAGTGTTGTGGGAATAGGGCGGTTAGTCTAGGTTCAGACGGAAAAACTTTTGTCGCGGCAACTCGTTACTTATGGGAGAGGGAGTGTCGAGGTAGGGGGAAGGGCACCCAGTTGCTCGTGCTCGGCCAACACGTTTGTACTCTCGTTCGTCTGAGTAATTCTAGTTGGCCGTTCAAAGCTGACCACAACAATTGTGTTCAAAAGAATTTCTCTGTGTGAACACGAAGGGCAACACCAAAAGAGAAATGTGTGAACCTAATCCTAGTAAAAACTGGTACAAACTCGGAATGTTCGATATTTAAGAAAGTATCGATATAATGAATCGATTTAATTCTTTAAACTATGTTCACATATCAATACCTCGGAACAAGTGCACAATACCACCAAATCTCGAATTAAAAAAAATAAAAAATAGGATCGATAGAGACCATTGAGGTGAACATAACGGTATATTTATTTTTTTTTGGGAAACAACAACTACAAGAATTATTAAAGGTCAAAGTGCAAATTAAGCATTTTCTCAAATTAATATTTCTCGAAAACCTCTTCAAGGAATTGGACAATTTTGATAGAGAATTTAATTTTCTTTAATTTGATATACATATTTATACATATACCTTTTTATAGTTTTCACGAAAATGGAATTAATATGGAAAAAAAGTATACAGGGTTTTTGTGTATAAACTTCTTTTTGCGTAGGCGGCCTTCGGCCGCACTTATGGATTATAACCCTCAAAGTAGAATTCTCTTTCTGTGTTGCGAAGAAAAGGCGCTGAACACCTTTTGCAGAGAACACCTTTCTGCGTAGGCGGCCTTCGGCCGCACTTATGGATTATAACCCTCAAAAAGTAGAATTCTCTTTCTGTGTTGCGAAGAAAAGGCACTGAACACTTTTTGCACAGAACACTTTTCTGCGTAGGCGGCCTTCGGCCGCACTTATGGATTATAACCCTCACAAAGTAGAATTCTCTTTCTGTGTTGCGAAGAAAAGGCACTGAAACCCGTTTAATAATTGTTGTAGTTGTTGTTTCCCAAAAAAAAAAAAAAATACATCGTTACACTCACCTCAATGATCTCTATCGATCCCCATATGAATTTTTTTAATTTGAGAATTGTACGTATTCTGCATTTATGCCAATATCTCAATCAAAGCTCGTTTTTTAATCACCCCGTTTACACAGGCAAATCTCAGATTATTAGCCGTCAAATTTGTTGTGCATGTTATTCTCACATCTCAAGGAAAATTTATGTTTCTTCTCTGTGCCACCGTGATCACGTTTTTCTGCTATAATAAGCAATATAAATATATTTTAACTTAACATTTATCAATTGGCACAGGCCCTCAGTGGCGGCGCTCCGAGCGTTGAGATAGTAATTTCATGATATTCATCCCCCATGAACCAATGACTATATTTTTGGTTGTTGTTCATCCTCGAGGAAGGCGTCACCAAATTCACCCAAGGTTGTTTACTGGTTATATTATGGCAGATGCAATAATACAGGCGTTATCAGTTGGCAACTTCTCGCTCGAATTCCGCCATATTGACTGCCTTAGGTGAGACAGTGTTACTTCTTTAACAATTCTTTGCCTAATAATATAGTTGAATATTTTTTTATTTTTTCTCAGTATACACATTTTTTTTCTTAAAAAGGTATTTTATCTCATTTTATTTAATTTTATTACGAATATACTATAAAAAAGCAAATTTTCTTTAGGAAAAAAATGTGAAATTTTATATTTTTCCCCCAAATGGGGCTTAATTTCTTCCCGTTTTTCTTCTCGTTCTACTGAGCTAAGGCAGTGTCAAATCGAGCTGTCACAATTGATACCACCTTGTATTATTGCATCATGATATTATGGTACAAACTATTGCGTACAAGATCGCTACTATTGTGTTTGACACTTTAGAGTACGATGTAGAAAACTGCATTACCCACATTGCTTTCCATTCGTTTTGACACCGTCTTTTGACAATTAAAATTTGCTCGTCATTCGTAAGAACTTGAAAAGCTACACTAATTATATCCCAGATAATTAATTTCCTTTTAATTTAAAGGTAAATTTATAGAACAAAGTTTCGTTTGGTATTGTTGTATAATTAAAGTAAAGTCGTTGTTAAAACAGCAAATCAGAAAAATGTTTGGTCGTCAAGGTGGTATCGGCGGAGGTAATACAAGCAATAGCTCCAACTTGGTGGAATTTCGCGCTGGTCGTATGAACATGATTGGTAAGATGGTTCATCCAGATGCTCGGAAAGGTATGGTGTATCTTACTCAGAGTGAAGATGGTCTAATGCATTTTTGTTGGAAAGACCGTGCTACAGGAAAGGTATTGAGAACCTGTTATATGAAGTATTCCGATAGAATTCTGTTTTGTGCATTTCGGCAGGTAGAGGATGACTTGATAGTTTTTCCCGACGATTTTGAATTTAAAAGAGTTGAACAGTGCAAAACTGGTCGGGTTTACGTATTAAAGTTTAAGTCGTCGTCACGTCGTATGTTTTTCTGGATGCAAGAACCAAAAACTGAAAAGGATGAAGAACTCTGTCGTCGCGTGAACGAACTAATGAATAACCCACCCTCACAACAACGAAACAACAGTGACAATGGTGACTTACAATATATGCTGAACAACATGTCGCAACAGCAGCTGATGCAACTCTTTGGAGGCGTTGGGCAAATGGGGGGGGCTTACATCTTTATTAGGATCAATGAAGTAATTTATTCTAGCAGATTTTTTTCTTAAATAAATTGTATCACTTTTATTTAGTCGAACGGAAAACAGCTCGCGTACACCTGCACGCAATGCAAATAACGCTGGGGCAAGTAATTTACTAACTCCGGAATCAAATACAGCACCCAAAACTCCTTCTGCACCCAAAGGAAAAGACAACAATAAAAGCTCTGCTGGAGCAACTACTTACAATATTACCGAGTCATCCAGTAAGTTTAAGGTTAACAAAATATTGGTATAATTTTCTTATTTGTCTTACGTTCAATTAGCACCAACAACCCGTACCTTGAACGTTGATTTATCCACTGCCATAAATGGTTCCGAGGCAATAAACGAAATAATTTCGGATCCAGAACGCGCAAAATTACTATCAGTTCACCTGCCTGAGAGTGAAGATGCCGACGAAAATAAAAAACAGCAAATAAAGGATACAATTGCATCACCACAATTTCAACAAGCTCTTTCATTGTTCTCGAATGCTCTTCAATCGGCCCAGCTCGGACCCGTGGTATCACAATTTGAATTAACGCCAGATGCAGTTGCTGCTGCATATGCAGGTAATTTAGAGGACTTTGTTAAGGCATTGGAAAAAGCGCTACCGAGTGGCGCCAACATGGATACCACCAAAGTAAGAGAATCGGAGAAGGATAAAGAGCCAATGCAAAAGGATGAAGGCGAAGGCAATTCACCCGATAAAAAATAATAGTGGTTAACGAGACAGGTGTTCATTATATAAAAGAGACTACAAGTAAATAAATAAATTTCTATTAACTATTGCAACACTCTTATGGCTATTTCCGCCATTACATTCTCTGTTGTCGGCTTTTACATGCTCTCTGAAATCGGATATTACATTCCGTTTTGGGTATACGACTTTACGAAGATCGATTGTGAAATTCGTATTATGAGCTATGCAACCGTGTCGACATTTACGTTGAGTATACAATTTTCTGTCGTAAAAAAATTTTGATTTCGATGCTGTAGGGAAGTGTGAGAAAATTGTGAAAATTGTATGATTTTGAGTATCTATTTACTTTTTGGTGATTAGACACTAATTTTAAAAAAATTTTATTAATTTTATACAGGTTTAAGGTCGTGAATACTAAACATCAGCTCGAAAGGCTGGTTTAACTTATGAAAGAAAATCCCAATACTTAGTTGGTACGATCTCGTGAGCGCAAAATTGCAGAACTGTTGATAGTTTTAAAATATTTAAAATAGATTTGGCTCGAGTGCATTACTGCAGCAAGTCTTGTGTAGCGGACAGTAGATATACAAACGCAATGCGCGAGCTATTTTAGCCGGCATTTTATACTGCATCCTCCAGTGGACAAAGCCAAGCGTCGAGTGGCCAGAAGACTGCACAAACTGCCAACAAGTGCGCCTCTTGCTTTTACCAGCGGTGAAGTTCAGGTAACCATCGGGAACCATGGGAACCGACGGAATATGCATGTTTATGATGAAAAATTTGTGTCGTGCAGGAGGAGCGTACCTAACGGAGGTCCTCAATCTGTTAATGGCCACTCTCGTCATTCCAGACATCTGGAAGATGGGGAGAGTTGTCCCACTGCTCGCACCGGGGAAACTAGCCAACAAAGGAGAGTCTTGTCGTCAGATAAGACTCCTTTTCCCGGTAGCGAAGACACTAGAGGCCTTGCTACTCCCGTATTTTGCGAACCACCTGACCCCAGCGAAGCATTAGCATGGTTTCTGTAAAGTGCACAGCACAACAACAGCACTTAACGCCATAAACTCTCAGAAAAGACATGGCCTTAATCGCAACCGCCCCTGTGAGAACTGTTCAGATGTCAATTTTGCTCTCTCAATTTCCCCTCTTTTGCCAGTAAAATTAGTACTGGATAGTGCGTACGCGAACAGGGCTAATGCTAAGTACTTTGGTTTGGATTTTCTTTTTCGCTGCATTGATTTAATACAAAAAAAAGATGAAAATTCTTGGATAAATTAAGGAAAATTAATTTCCGAAGATACATGCCAGGGAATGCTTTAACTCCAAAACGTAGATTTGTTATCTAATAAATATGTGAAAGCTATGCAAATATGCAAACTCATTGGTGATTTGCCGTCGCCATTTGGGTCACACAAATCGTTTTTTTTTTTAACGATTCTTATTGTAGTTGCTACGCCATTTTCAATGCAACAAATCCCAGTTTTCTAGCTGCCTTAGTTTTTTCAAAAACTCACTTTAAAGATGGACGCATTAACAAAAAAAAATGTACAATGCAAAGCCATGAACGAAAGACACAAGATCACGCCTTCCCGAAAGAAAGAAACAAGTTATTTTCTAGCTGTTGAAATCTCGACGCCATCTTTGTTGTAAGAAGTAAACAACGAAGAGAACAAAAAAAACCGCGTAATTATTGAACGCATGAATAATCATTTTTATTATGCAAATTCTTCTATAAATCATGTCGTTGTGTTAAATTATTCTTTACCTTATGTGTGCACACGTTGTCACAAGCGAAAATTAAGAAAATTGCAGTAAAAAGCCACCACCAAATTGTAAACAACGAATAAATGCAAACAAACGGCTAATGTCAAAGTCGCCCAACTTTTTTCCTAAACGTGATTATAACGGGCTACTAAGAAGAAGGCGTGATCTTGTATTTTTGGTTCATGATGCAAAGCAAGGCACATAAATACAGGTAGAAGCCAAAATGACGTTGCTCTCGTGAGAACCAAACCTTTAAACTTCAACTTGTTTTCCTTTTATTTCTTATATTTCGTTACGCTTTGATTGACAAGTCGTTCTTTTTTTGAATGTTCGTTAATGACAAATTTTAATTAGCATTTGAATTTTTGTAGTGTTGTGCGGTTTATACTTAGTGTATGTGCTAAAAATGCAACACCTGATGCGCTGTTTTTTATGTGGTGTTAAATATAATTCAGACACCACTCATTTTTTAACGTGCCTCAATGTCTTTGGCGTAAGGAGCGTTGGGAAAGCAGCTGTGGGGTAGAGCTGCAGCGAAATGCCTTGCTGTGCGTTAAACATTTCAAAGCAGCAGATTTCATAAATGTACCGGAAGGTTCAGGAAAGGCGCGTTTGATGCCAAGTGCTGTTCCTATGACCCTTATGCCGGAAAGTCCCTTCAACAACACTGCAACTCATAAATCAAAAACAGAAAACAACATACAAATTAAAAAATTTTAACTAAAGAAAATAAATAAATAAAAACAAAACATCAAATTTACTTAAAAACGTCAACCAGCGAAATGTAATTTTTTATTTTTCCTTACACACGCTCACTTTTATTTTTACTCTCCCGAAAACTTTGACTTTTGTAGGTTTGATGTCAATTTGGCTTCTACCTGTTTTTATTGTACCATGGATGCAAAGCACTTGTTAACTTCAAAGTTGTTTTGAGTTTTACTGCAATACTCGTAGATATTATTTGTAAATAATAGATCTGGAGTCAAATTGCAAATCCATTTCCCAGGCATGCGTATATGGATGCTTGTAGTACACACAGATCAACTAATTAGCAACGAAATTCAAAATGATATTGTTTGCAAATTATGTTTATTTATTTATTTTTAATAATTTCCTTTAACCCTTTCGCTATTTTGATGCCATATGGCGTCATGCTTTTTTGAATACTCACAGATATAATTGAGCTTATCTGAAATTATATTTTTATATTCAACGCTGTAATGGAAAGTTTTATAAACTATTTTTTAATACGGTATTATTATTTTTATCCTTAGTAGATGAAAAATTTAAATTTTAAAACTTTACTAAAACATCGATTTTCTTCCGCTTAGAAAGGTCTACATTAAAATACTGTATTTTACCAAATAACCTAATAAATTAAAAACAAATAAATATGCTATAGTCTCCAAAATAGTGTCAAATATTGCTAGAACTTGTAATTTAATTAAAAAAAATGCTAATAAACGCGTGGTATATTTTTTAATTTGTATGATGCATCAATAATATTTGAAGGTGCTGAAATCCGCCCCAGCAAATAACGATATATTTGTACTGGTAAATTGCAACTGGTAAATTTTTTGAATGAATTATTAAATCTATGCATGTTCCAACTTATTTTATTGAATTTTTGTAGTGTTATTTAATTTAATTTAAATAAAATAAAATACCATATTAAAAAATTCCTGCGTATTTACTACACCAGTTAGTACAAATGATGCCATATGGCACCATTCTAAAAAACACTTTAGAATCATATTTTGGAAGAAATTAAATTGAATGTTATTATTTTCAGTATTAAGGATCATTTAATAAAAAAATCGGATTTTTAAAGCCCGAATCTAAAAAGATGTACCAAAAGGGTTAAAATATAATTCAATCTATAACAGAAACCACAATAATAAAGGTTTAAAAGCTTGCACAAACTGCAACAAAATTAATCAAACTTCAAAAAATTGTTATAAAAATTTCAAAATTTTTAATTAGATTATTTAGAAAATTTTCGGGTATGCAGCTTTGTAGTCCATTCAATCAAGTACACTAAAGTCCAAGTTTCTAGTCGTTAAAAATTACCGTTGATTTTTTTAGATTTTTTTTGTGGAGGGTGTTCGCATTTTCTCCCATATAGCGCTACGCGCACACTGCAGCCGGCATCGGCCGAATTGTGCTCGGCCGATATCGGTTATATGCGGGCGATATGAATAAACACTTGTGATTATATGAGCTCAACACTACTGAGGCACTTTATGCCTTGCGTTCAAGCGAATTTCTTTTTTCCTCTTTCCTTACCTCTGCAACTTATGTAATGACTTTTTTTCCTTGTAGGCTTTTGAGATAAAATCTCACTTCTGAGGTGTAAAAGCCAGAACACCAAGTGGTAAAATTAAGAATATGTATTTAACTATAATTCAGCAGTTAATGTTATACATAGAGTATGTGTAGAAAGTTAACAATAAATCGGTATTTGTTGAATGGACCTTTCGATGCTTCTACGTGTACTTTGTTGCACGTTCCACTTCACACTGACTTCATTACAGTGATGGTGACCGATGTTCAAGGTCAGAAGCGTTAACCACTGAGCTATGTACATCCCGTAAACTCTTGTTGCTAATTCATTTTCCTTATTCAACCACCTACAATCAAATGCAGCTGATTTGCCGCTATTTAAGCGGCCTAAAGCGGTTACCTAAGTTTTTTCTGAGTTACGCTCTTTTTGGACAAATAAAGGAGATCATATTCTTGCCCAGTGGCCCAAATGATGCTAAAAAACTCCTTTAAAAAAGTAATTTTCATTTCGTAAAATTGTGCTTATAAACGAGTAGAATTTAGTTCCTTCAAACGATGTATTTCAATATACATACATCATGAAAATTTTGTACAAAATTCCTTAGACGCCGAACGCCGCCGCCGCCGCGTCGATATTTTCGTAGCTCGGCGGCGGCGCGTGATTAATGAAGAAAATCGGCGGCGGCGTCGCTCGGCGGCGTATACCTCTACGATCGAGCGTTATTGGGTCCATATGAAATCAAAATTCAAAAAAAAAAACAAGATGCACGGCTTTAACAATAACGCAGCTCTGCAGAATGTGGCGAAAACAGGCTGAATCGATCAACGAAAGGGAAGTCCAAGTATTAATGGAGGGTGTCATCTCTAAAGTACGGGTATTTTGGCGTGGATATTAATTCTAATATTTGTAAATCTTTCATTTAAATAAAATAAAAGAAGGTTCTAAAAAAGTTTCGATTAAATTATTTACATTAAAATTGTTTTTTTTTTTTGCTATTTAATACATGCCAGATTTCAACTGAAGCGGATCTTAAATACACCTATTTAA